AAGGGGAAGAGAGAGGGTGGAGGGGGAGGAGGGGAGAGAGGTTAGGAGAAGGGGAGAAAGAAGGGAGGGGGAGAGAAAGAGAGGGGGAGGGGGGAGAGAGGAGGGGAGAGATAGAGGGGGGAGGGGGGGTGGAAAGAGAGAGAGAGAGTGTGAAAGTGACTGAAAGAGAAGGGGAGAGAGACGAGCACAGTGAGCAACCAGGAAGAGAGAGAATATGTGTGTGAGACACAGCTAAAGACTGAGCTACTGAGGGAGAGACTGATTGACAGACAATGTGAGTAAACGGAGAGATAGAGAGAGATAGACAGAGTGGGTGTGAGGTGTGAGCCAGAGAGAGTGTGACAGACAGAGTGAGAGAGGGATAAAGGTGGAGAGAGAGAGGGAGAGAGAGAGAAACTGTAAGAGAGATTTAGAGAGAGGGGAGAAAGTGAGATAGATATAGAGAATGGAGAAATTAAATGTTTGGGGAGAGATGGAGACTGAGTGTGAGAGTGTGAAAACCACGAGCATCTCACTGGGCTTCCCAGGAGTTACTGTGAGGTGCAGTGTAATGACTGGTTTGTAGGGGATTGTGCATTTGGTAAGATTCCGGGTTCCTCTCCTGCAATTTACAATTCCATTTCTGTATATTTCGGGAGGTGGAAACAGATGTGTATACACTCCCATCACACACCCCGGCCCCGCACTCACTCTGACACATCTGACACCCTTACACAACTTACACACTTGCACACTTACACACTTGCGCAATTTACACTTACTCCTTAGCCTCCTTCAATTCCCGCCTCAAGACCCTCCTCTCGACCATGCCATCGGCCACTCCCCTTCCCCTCCCCTCCCTTCTCCCCCTCTGACCCCAGCTCGGGTCTGAAATGCTGTCACTGTCCAGCGCCTTGAGACGTCCTCCCGACGTGAAAGGCGCTCTATGCATGTAATCTTGTCGTTGTTGTTACACACCTTACACAACAACAAACCAGACAGAAAGTTAGCCAACATTTAGCATGGAGTCTGCGCTCCCCTGTCTGCTCAGTTCAGACGTGTTTTTCCCTGATTATAATACCCTATAACCACAGCAGAACTGTACACAGTAATCTAGAACGATCCTGCGTACGGCTGTCTGTCTGAGATCAGGTCCTGTTAACAAGCACTAATTGGACTTCCTCCCTCTATGTTGCTCTCTGAGAGTCAGAAGGCCTGACCCTGGTTACTTACCCCCACACAAGTGTCAGACAGCAGCACAGTCCTGCACGCTCACACCCACACACGCTTTATCCTCCTTTACTGACTGGCATCCACTGCACCCAGAGAACCTGCCCCACTTCACTCACTCTGACACGAGCACACACACCCCCTCCCTCACACCATTCACTCACAAACCACAGCTCTAACTCACTAACACCCCCATCTTACCATTCAATGCAATTACTGGAAATCTGTCACTATAACACACGGTGATTGCTGTTCTATATAACACACATGTGCAGCTAATATAATAAGAATTCTTTCATTTGATACAGTGTCTTATCACCTCATTGAGACATCTCAAAGCACTTCACGGAATATATTGTAAAGTGGATTGACTGCGTATTCAGTGGGCGAAACTACTCTCTGTCTAATACACAGAGGCTGCTATTCTCCACAACACACTCCGTCTGCCGGTTCAGGTGGATGATAAAGATCCCATCGCATTATTCGATAAAATAAATAATAATAATAATAAAGCAAAGGAGTTTCTCTCTCTCCGCGCCTTGGCCTTACAGTCACTGCTAACATATCAAATGTGGGGTTTATTATACATTATTGCAGGCAGCTTACTGACACCCTCCCGCACACACATCTCCCCTCACACACCCCAACACCCCCCCTCACACACACACACACACCAACCCCCCCCCCACACACACACACCAACACCCCCCCACACACACACACACCAACCCCACCCCCACACACACACACACCAACCCCACTCCCCCACACACATACACACACACACCAACACCCCCCCACACACACACACACACCAACACCCCCTCACACACACACACACCAACACCCCCCCCCACACACACACACACCAACACCCCCCCCACACACACACACACACCAACCCCACCCGCCCACACACACACACCAACTCCACCCCCCCACACACACACCAACACACCACCCACACACCACACACCAACCCACCCCTCACACACACACACACACCAACACCCCCCCCACACACACACACACCCCAACACACACCCCCACACACACACACCAACCCACCCCCCCCACACACACACCAACCCCACTCCCCCACACACACACACCAACCCCACCCCCACACACACACACCACACCCACCCCCACACACACACACCAACCCACTCCCCCCACACACACACCCCAACCCCCCCCCCACACACACACACATACCCCACCCCCACACACACCTGAATAGTTGACCAGTGACCTCAGTGAGGTGGGGGCAAGAGAGACCGGGTTCGGGTTAGACAGCGGCAGAGGTCCGGGGGGGAGCCTCGGGGGTGGGGGGGGAGCCCCGGGGGGGGAGCCTCGGGGGTGGGGGGGAGGGGGAGCTCCGGGGGGGGAGGGGGAGCTCGGGGGGGGGCAGCCCGGGGGGGGGGAGCACCGGGGGGGGCAGCCCGGGGGGGGGGCAGCCCGGGGGGGGCAGCCCGGGGGGGAGCAGCCCCGGGGGGAGCCCCGGGGGGGTGGGGAGGGGGTGAATCAGGAGCAGTCTGTGGTGGGATGAGGAGCTGTGACGGTCGGTGACACTGTGTCTCTGCAGCCAAACTGATCGTAGAGACGGACACGTTCGGGAGCCGCGTCCGCATCAAAGGGGCAGAGTCCGGGTTTTACATCTGTATGAACAAGAGGGGGAAACTCATCGGGAAGGTAAGGGTTAATATATACCCCCCTCAGGGACCCCAGGGACACCCTCACACACACACACACACACACACACACAGAGACACCCTCACACACACCCACACACACAGAGACACCCTCTCACACACACACACACACAGACACCCTCACACACACACACACACACACACACACACAGAGACACCCTCACACACACACACACACACACACACACAGAGACACCCTCACACACACACACACACACACACACAGAGACACCCCACACACACCCACACACACACAGAGACACCCACACACACACACACACACACACAGAGACACCCTCACACACACACACACACACACACACACACACACAGAGACACCTCACACACACACACACACACACACACACACAGAGACACCCTCACACACACCCACACACACACACACAGAGACACCCTCACACACACCCACACACACAGAGACACCCTCACACACACACACACACACAGACACCCTCACACACACACACACACACAGACACCCTCACACACACACACACACACACACAGACACCCTCACACACACACACAGACACCCTCACACACACACACACACACACAGAGACACCCTCACACACACACACACACACACACAGAGACACCCTCACACACACACACACACACACACAGACACCCTCACACACACACACACACACAGACACCCTCACACACACACACACACAGAGACACCCTCACACACACACACAGACACCCTCACACACACACACACAGAGAGACACCCTCACACACACACACACACACAGAGAGACACCCTCACACACACACACACACACACACACACAGACACCCTCACACACACACACACACACACAGACACCCTCACACACACACACACACACACAGACACCCTCACACACACACACACACACACACACAGAGACACCCTCACACACACCCACACACACAGAGACACCCTCACACACACACACACACACAGAGACACCCTCACACACACACACAGACACCCTCACACACACACACACACACACACAGAGACACCCTCACACACACACACACAGACCCCTCACACACACCCACACACACACAGACACCCTCACACACACACACACACACACCCTCACACACACACACACACACAGACACCCTCACACACACACACACACAGAGACACCCTCACACACACACAGACACCCTCACACACACACACACACACAGAGACACCCTCACACACACACACACACACAGAGAGACACCCTCACACACACACACAGAGACACCCTCACACACACCCACACACACACAGACACCCTCACACACACACACACACACACACCCTCACACACACACACACACAGAGACACCCTCACACACACACACAGACACCCTCACACACACACAGAGAGACAGAGACACTCACACACACACACACAGAGACAGAGACACCCTCACACACACACACACCCTCACACACACACACACACACACCCACACACACACACCCTCACACACACACACACACACACACACCCCCCACACACACACACACACCCCACACACACACACACACCCACACACACAGAGACACACACCTACCCACACACAGAGAGACACCCACACACACACACACACACAGAGACACACCCCACACAGACACACACCCACACACACCCTCACCCACACACACACACACACACACAGAGACACCCTCACCCACACACACACACAGACACCCACACACACACACACACAAACACACACCTTCACCCACAGAGACATCCACACCCACAGAGACACCCTCACCCACACACACACTCTCCCCCACAGAGACACCCTCACCCACACACACACACAGACACCCACACACACACACACACAAACACACACCTTCACCCACAGAGACATCCACACCCACAGAGACACCCTCACCCACACACACACTCTCCCCCACAGAGACACCCTCACCCTCACCCACAGAGACACACTCACCCACACCCACAGAGACACCCACAGAGACACCCTCACCCACACCCACAGAGACACCCACAGAGACACCCACACCCACAGAGACACTCTCACCCTCACCCACAGAGACACCCTCACCCACAGAGACACCCTCAGCCTCACTCACAGAGACACCCACACACACACCCACACACACAGAGACACCCACACACACAGAGACACCCTCACCCGCACCCACAGAGAGACCCACACCCACAGAGACACACTCACCCACACCCACAGAGACACCCTCACCCACACCCACAGAGACACCCACACACACACCCACAGAGACACCCTCACCCACACCCACAGAGACACACACCCACACACACAGACACCCTCACCCACAGAGACACCCTCACCCACACCCACACAGACACCCTCACCCACACACACAGAGGCAGAGACACCCTCACCCACACACACACCCACAGAGACAGAGACACCCTCACCCACACCCACAGAGACAAAGACACCCTCACCCACAGAGACACCCACAGAGACAGAGACACCCTCACCCACAGAGACACCCACAGACAGAGACACCCTCACCCACACACACACACCCACAGAGACACCCACACCCACAGAGACACTCTCACCCTCACCCACAGAGACACCCTCACCCACAGAGACACCCTCAGCCTCACTCACAGAGACACCCACACACACACCCACACACACAGAGACACCCACACACACAGAGACACCCTCACCCGCACCCACAGAGAGACCCACACCCACAGAGACACACTCACCCACACCCACAGAGACACCCTCACCCACACCCACAGAGACACCCACACACACACCCACAGAGACACCCTCACCCACACCCACAGAGACACACACCCACACACACAGACACCCTCACCCACAGAGACACCCTCACCCACACCACACAGACACCCTCACCCACACACACAGAGGCAGAGACACCCTCACCCACACACACACACACCCACAGAGACAGAGACACCCTCACCCACACCACAGAGACAAAGACACCCTCACCCACAGAGACACCCACAGAGACAGAGACACCCTCACCCACAGAGACACCCACAGACAGAGACACCCTCACCCACACACACACACCCACAGAGACAGAGACACCCTCACCCATAGAGACACCCTCACCCACAGAGACACCCACAGAGACAGAGACACCCTCACCCACAGAGACACCCACAGAGACAGAGACATCCTCACCCACAGAGACACCCACAGAGACAGAGAGACCTCCTCACCCACAGAGACACCCACAGAGACAGAGAGACCTCCTCACCCACAGAGACACCCACAGAGATAGCCACGGATAGAGGAGACTCCTACACCACAGAGACACCCACAGAGATAGAGACCTCCTCACCCACAGAGACACCCACAGAGACAGAGACACTCTCACCCACAGAGACACCCACAGAGACAGGGAGACCTCCTCACCCACAGAGACACCCTCACCCACAGAGACACCCACAGAGACAGAGAGACACCCTCACCCACAGAGACAGAGAGAGACACCCTCACCCACAGAGACACCCTCACCCACAGAGACACAGAGAGATACCCTCACCCACAGAGACAGAGAGTGAAAGAGACATCCACACCCACAAAGAAAAAGAGCGACACATACCCAGAGAGAGGGTGCGCAGTGTGTAAGGGGTGGGGCGGGGGGGTAGTGTGTAAGAGGGGGTAGTGTGTGATGGAGTAGGGGGGCAGTGTGTAGTGGGGGTAGTGTGTAGGGGGGTAGTGTGTGATGGTTTAGGGGGGCAGTGTGTAGTGGGGGTAGTGTGTAAGTGGGGGTAGTGTGTGATGGAGTAGGGGGCAGTGTGTAGGGGGGGTAGTGTGTGATGGAGTAGGGGGGCAGTGTGTAGTGGGGGTAGTGTGTAGGGGGGGTAGTGTGTGATGGAGTAGGGGGGCAGTGTGTAAGGGGGGTAGTGTGTAGGGGGGGTAGTGTGTGATGGTGTAGGGGGCAGTGTGTAGTGGGGGTAGTGTGTAGGGGGGTAGTGTGTGATGGTGTAGGGGGGTAGTGTGTAGGGGGGTAGTGTGTAAGTGGGGGTAGTGTGTGATGGTGTAAGGGGGCAGTGTGTAGGAGGGTAGTGTGTAGGGGGGGTAGTGTGTGATGGTGTAGGGGGGCAGTGTGTAGGGAGGGGTAGTGTGTGATGATGTAGGGGGGGCAGTGTGTAGGGGGGCAGTGTGTAGGGGGGGCAGTATGTGATGGTGTAGGGGGGCAGTGTGTAGGGGGTGTAGTGTGTGATGGTGTAGGGGGGCAGTGTGTAGGGGGGGCAGTGTGTGATGGTGTAGGGGGGCAGTGTGTAGGGGGGGCAGTGTGTAGGGGGGCAGTGTGTGATGGTGTAGGGGGGCAGTGTGTAGGGGGGGTAGTGTGTGATGGTGTAGGGGGGGCAGTGTGTAGGGGGGGCAGTGTGTGATGGTGTAGGGGGGCAGTGTGTAGGGGGTGTAGTGTGTGATGGTGTAGGGGGGCAGTGTGTAGGGGGGTAGTGCGTGATGGTGTAGGGGGGCAGTGTGTAGGAGGGGGCAGTGTGTAGGGGGGGCAGTGTGTGATGGTGTAGGGGGGCAGTGTGTAAGGGGGTACAGGGTGTAATGGGATATCTCCCCCCGCAGCCCCATTGCCCACGTCACGGGTCAGCAATGTTAGGAGACTGGACACAGCGAAGCTGACAGACAGCGCCATTAACATCTAAACACCTGTCACAGCCTCACCCCACCACCCAAACACACCCTGATGTCTCTCTCCTTTATCCCCTCCTTATCTCTATCTTTCGCTCTCTCTCTCTATCTTTTCTTTTTCGTTTTTTGCCTCTTTTTCATTCTTTCTGTCTCTCTGGATCACTCTTCTTTCTCTATGCATTTCTTTGCTTTTTTGTGTCTGTGTTGAATCACTCCGGAACACTACCCCACGTGAAGGGCTCTATATAAGTTGTTGATATTGTTGTTGTCTTTTTCTCTGTCTGTCTCTGTGTTTCTTTCTCTCTATATTTTTCTCTCTCTCTCTCTCTATTATTCTATCTTTTTTCGCTCTCTATATATTTCTGTCTCAGTTGCTCTCTCTCTTGTGTCTCTCAGTCTCTATCTACCTATGTATATTTATTTCTCTGTATGCATACATATTTCTCTTTCTCTCGGTCTTGCTCTCTCTGTATATTTCTCTCTCTGGCTCTCAATCTGGAGCTAGACTCCGCCAGTTGATACCAATCGATATCGATTGTAGCTGAACTATCTAATTAACTAGCTTAACTGAAGGTAACTAGCTGAGTTACCCAGGTTAACTCAATGATAATAATAATCCTTGCATTTAATATCACGCCTTATCATGGCTTCAAGACGTCTTAAGGCACTTCACGGAATACACTGTAAAGTGAATTGACTGAAAAATTGAAAAGGCAGAATGTGCAGAGCTCTGGGGGAGAGGGACTGATTGGGCAGCACAGGCCCACTGGGCTGAATGGCCTCCTTCTGTTTTATTCTATGATTCTATGACTGCAGGTTTTGTGGGCGAAGCTCAACTTAAAAACTTGTTTTCATCTTTCACCTGAAGGACGGGACATTGTTAACAACAAGATGCTAACTCCTCTCTCTCCCCCACCCACCCCTCTCTACCCCTCCCTCCCCTCCCCCCACTCTCCCCCCCCACCCAGCAGAGTGGTCGGAGTCGGGACTGTGTGTTCACGGAAATTGTGCTGGAGAACAACTACACTGCCCTGCAGAACGCGCGCTACAAGGGCTGGTTCATGGCCTTCACCAGGAAGGGGAGGCCGCGGAGGGGATCCCGCACACGGCAGCACCAGCGAGAGGTGCACTTCATGAAGCGGCTCCCGAGGGGCCAGGTGTCGGGGCCCGAGTCACACCGGCACTTTGAGTTCATTAATTCACCTTTCTCCAGTCGCTCCAAACGCACCCGTCACTCCCGCCCCCGGTAAATACCCCTCACACTCACCCTCTCACACACACACACCCTCACACTCACCCCCTCACACACACACTCACACTCACCCCCTCACACACACCCCCTCATACTCACCCCCTACACACACCCCTTCACACACCCTCACACTCGCCCCTCACACACACCCCTCATACTCACCCCCTCACACACACCCCCTTACACACACCCCTTCACACTCGCCCCCTCACACACACACCCTCACACTCACCCCCTCACACTCACGCCCTCACACTCACCCTCTCACACTCACCCTCTCACACTCACCCTTACACACCCCCTCACATACACCCCCACACACACACCCTCACACTCACCCCCCTCCACATCCCCTCACACCTCCATCACACTCACCCCCGCTTCACACTCACACCACCCTCACTCTGGCTCCAAACCACTCTTTTTCTTAATTTTTTTATATAAAAATCAATCAGATATTTTATTTTTGTACTGGGCTCCGGGTCACAGGGCAAATGAGTTATATCAAAAAGCAGCCCTTCTGTGGGGGAAAGGGTTACATGGAAGAGAAATGAAAAAGGATGTTTTTTATTGGGGAGGGAGAAAATGAGATTAAATTAAATCTAAGTGAAAAACATACACCTCATCAGCCAATCCGTGCCTGAAGCTAAACAAATCTGGTGTTTGTAAGAATAATAATACTTGCATTTGATGTAGCGCCTTATCACGTTGTCAACAGGTCTCAAAGCGATTCACAGAACATACTGTAAAGTGAATTGACTGTATATTTTGTGGGCGAAATGCGGCAGCCAATTGCGCACAGCAGCGTCCCACAAACAGTCGTGGATTTGTACATTTGTAGTTATACAGAGAGACAGCAGAGTCTCACCTTCCTGGTACGGTTTATTTTTATACCTATTCCAATTGTCTGTAAATCTTAACATTATTATTAATAATGTTAATAATAATCCTTGCATTTGGTAAAGAGCCTTATCACATCATTTAGGTGTCTCAAAGCGCTTCAAAGGATACACTGTAATGTGTAGTGACTGTGTATTTTGTTGGTGAAATGCGGCAGCCATTTACACACAGCAGAGTCCCACGAACAGCCATGGAGTGAGTGACCAATTTTATTGGGGGGTTGTTGGCCAGGACACTGGGGGAGAGAGAGAAACTCCCTTCTCTTTTTGAACAGCATCACGGTATCTTTAACACCCACCTGAACAGGCAAACGGGGCCTCGGTTTAACATCTCATCCAAAGGATGGACTTGAAAGAGAGACTTAAATTGAGCTAAGGATCACCATCCACAATCTCCTCCATCTCTTTTCCTGTTGTAAATATTTTGTGTTCCTTATTATTATTGTTATTAGTTTAAAACAAACGCTGTATAGTTGTTAAGAGTTTGATGTAACTTTTTTATTGTTTGGGTTATTCGAGATGTTTTAAGGATTGTGTAAAATAATTTTAATGATGAAAATATTTATTTAATATCTGCATTACATTTGTATTAGAACACAGAGAGCCTTTGTTGTTTTTATTTGTGGATGGATCGAGAAATATCTGAATAATAAACAACCACTCACATTGTTCAGTATCAAAGCCACAGGTGGAGTCACACAGATGCTGGCTCTCACCTGTCTGCTCTCCTCTGACCTCACATCACAGGAATATAGAAACAGGAGGAGGCCATTCAGCCCCTCAAGCCTGCTCCGCCAATCTATTAGGTAATGGCTGATCTATACCTCAACTGCATGTCAATTCATCACCTAGATTTTGTTCAGTTAATAAGAAAGAAAGAGCCAATGTTACTTTGGTGCCTTATCTTATAATAATAATCCTTGCATTTGATATAGCGCATTATCGTGGCAAAGTGCTTCACAGGATTTTACTCCGAAGTGCAGTGACTGCATTTGTTGTTGAACACACCAGCCAGATTGTGCGCAGCAACGTACCACAAACAGCTGTGAGGTGCTCCTTATGCATTCATACTCGCATTTTAAGTGCTTTTCTGTCAAGTATCCATAACACTGGAACATTGAGCCTTTTCTTGTCCTGAGTCGCTCTCTCCCCGTCTCTCTCCCTGTCTCTCTCTGTCTCTCCGCCTGTTTCTCTCCCTGTCTCTCTCCCTGTCTCTCTCTGCCTCTCCGCCTGTGTCTCTCCCTGTTTCTCCTCTCTTCCTGCTAACTTTCTCTCCACCACAGTGATTGCCCACAGATTGGATATGGAGGTGTATATGGAGCTGTATATTAGTGCTGTATATGGAGGTGTATATTACTGTGTTAGCCCAACAGACCACAATGAAAACTTCCCTGTAACCTGAATGAATGCCCCTCTGGCCCCCAGTTGTGATGAGTTGAGAGAAAGAGGAAATGAGGCTCTGATGCACTTGTGGGAAATCTCACACCCATTCACAACAACGACCTGCACTTACATAGTGCTCTCCACACAGGGCAGTGTCTCAGAGCGCTTAACAATGGCGGAGTCTGACTCTGAGCCGGTGGGGGGTGGCAGTGGTGGGTGGACATGACCATAAGCATGGTCGAAAAGGAAGGTTTTAAAGTGGGACTTGAAAAAGGGGAGAGAGGTGGCAAGGCGGAGGGATTGAGGGAGAGTGTTCCAGAGTTTTAGGGCTGAAACCCAACCTCCAATGGTGGGGCGGAGGGTGTGAGGGACGAGCAGGAACTGGTGCCAGTCGAGTGGAGGCACCTGGTGGGGGATTGGGAAGTGAGGGGGTTGGAGAGGGAGGGATTGAACACAAGTGAGAGGATCTTGATGTCGATCGGTTCGGTGATGGAGAGACAGTGGAGCCAGGGCCAGAACTGGTGAGATATGGGGACGGAGTTTGGTCAGTATGCGGCGGCAGAGTCTGAATGAGCTGATCTTGTGAATGGTGGAGCTGGGGAGACCAGCGAGGAGTGCGTTGGAATAATTCAGGCGGGAGGTGACAAACACATGCACAAGGGTTTTAGATGCATTTGGGGTAAGGTAGGGTCGGAGGATGGCAATGTGGCGGAGGTGGAGGAAGGCGGTTCTGGTCAGGGACTGGATGTGGGGGATATCAGTCAGAGGGAGAGCCCAGGGAGGTTGAGGAGTTTAGATCCGTAGGAGTGAAGACATTGACGGAAGCCGAGGAGTATGGCTTCCATCCTGTCCATATTCAGCTGCAGGAAGTTTACACTCAACCAGGCCTTGATGTCTGCCAGACGAGCTGATAGAACATTGCGGACCTGGAATTGGTGCTGGAAGAGACAAAGTAGATTTGTGTGTCATCCACATACATGCAGAAGTTTACCCCGTGTCTGAGGATGATATCGCTCAGAGGAAGCAAATAGATAAGGAAAAGAAGAGGCCAAGGATGGAGCCCTGGGGTACTCCGCAGGTGACCGGGCAGGAGAGGGAGGAGAAACCATTTTCTGAAATGAAATGGAGGCAGTTGGTTAAGTAGGACTCAAACCATGTAAGTGCGGTCCCACTAAGGTGGATGAGGGAGGAGAGCTGATGGAGGAGGATGGCGTGGTCAACCGTGTCAAACACAGCAGAGAGATCCAGGAGGACGAAGAGGTAGAGGAAGCCCTGATCACAGATAGAGAGAACGTTGTTTGTGACTTTGACAAGCGCTATCTCTGTGCTGTGGGCAGTCAGGGTGAAAACCAGACTGCAGGGGCTCGAGGAGGGAGTGAAGGGAAAGGTGTGACCGACGTTGACCTGCAACCATGCATTTCAGGACTTTGGCAAGGAAGGGTAGGTTGGAGATGGGATGGTAGTGTGAGAGATAGAGGGATCGAGGGTGGGTTTTTTGAGGAGGTGTGTGATGACAGCGGTTTTCAGGGGGAGTGGAATAGAGCCTGAGGGGAGAGACTGTTTGATCGTGTTTGCCAGCGGGGGAGAGAAGGGGGAGTTGAGTGATCAGCAGCTGAGTAGGGAGGGGATCAAGGTAGCAGGTGATGAACTTCATCCGGGCGATTGTGGTTCAGAGGGAGGAGAGAGAAATTGGGGCAAAGGAGTGTAAGGAGGGGGTAGTGGCAGGCGCCGTGGCGGAGAGAGAAGGCAGTGTGGATGGTCTGGATGGGGTGGAAGAAGGACATTGGAGAGGGAGTACGATGCAGCCAAGTGGATGTTTTAAATCTTTGAGGTGAAGAAGCCTAGGACCTCTTCGCACTTGGCGTTTGATGTGAGGATAGAGGGCTCACACCACGTAAATTAGGTCGTTAAACACCCACGTGGTCACGGCTCACCTTTCATGTCCCTGTTGCTGACAAACACCAGCCTTTCATTTGATTGTGGGCAATTCATCTCAAAGTGATACCAGGTTCAAGCCGTGGCCCCTGAACTCCTATTTAACCTTTTACTGCTGTGAGCTTAGGTCCAGCAAGAAAACCATTGCTAGATCTTTCTCCTGGGTGTAAATAGTTTTACCATCATTGGAGGCCTCTCTCCCATGTTTGTGAAGGAGATTGATAATAATCCATACATTTGATATTGTGCTTTATCACATTGTTGAGACATCTCAAAGCGTTTCACAGTATATATTGTAAAGTGGATTGACTGTGTACTTGTGGGTGAAATGTGGCAGCCAATTGTGCGAACAGTCGTTGATTGACCAAGGGATTATTACCCTGGAAAGCGATCCACCAATCAACTAACAACCGGGTTCTTACTTACTGCTAGGTAAACAGAGGTGTGTGGAGTAAGGAAACCTGTCTAAGGTTAATGTTCCCCTGTGCTCACACTCTTCTTTCAATACCCTCTCAACCAATCTCTGAGACCACCTCCCCTCCTCCCCCAGCTCAGGATGCCACTGTGTCTGTGGGAATTTCTCCCTGCGTGAGAGGTGTTGGCTAAGTGTAACTTGTTGTTGTTGTTGATAATAATCCCTCCAAAAAAACAAAACAATAATAAATTGGTCATTTTCAATCCATGACTGTTCGTGGGACATTGCTGTGCGCAATTGGCTGCCGCGTTCGCCCACAAATATACAGTCAATTCACTTTATAGTATATTCTGTGAAGCGCTTTGG